GACGCCATTGGCAACAACTCGATATTCTTCCTCGGCGCTAGACCGGAGACGGTGGTCGCCGCTTGAGGACCAGAGATCAGTCCGTCCCCCGAGAAAGACCGCATAGCAGCCCAGGTGGAGCGGCGGGTGTCCGGGCAGCCGCCTAATCGATGTCGGTGTACACACGAAGTCGTGTTGAGCTGTCGGGGATGACCAAACCATGACCGAGGGAACCCCGGAGATAGCGAAGAATCCTTTTGGCGGCGACACAAGATGAACTTCACATGGAGCATGCATATGAAGGCATACTTGTTGAACGGCGTAAGCAATGTCCGCCTGGTGAAAGTGAGGTATTGGGGCGCCCACAAGGCTACGTTAGATGGTGGGGTCAACAATGGGGGGCCGCATCATCGGCGGTATCTTTGCACAAGTGTCAACCGGGGTGGAGCGGGAGCTTGCAATCGCTCATGCCATGGCGAAGCGAGGATGTCCAAGATGTATTATTGCCATGCGAGAGATGATCAATCCTCGTGGCGGTCGAATCGAAATGCCAAGGAAGTGATGCAGAGGGCCAAGGTCCTTCATGGCGAACTCCTTTTTCAATGCAAACAATGACACGGTGAAGGAGTCATTGTGATGAAGCCGTGAGGACAATATCGTCCCACATATAAGAGCAAGTAGACAGTCAATGTACCGTGGGTCAGATATGAAGAGAGAGAAGTGTCGGACTTGGCTTCAAAGAACCCCGAGAGATCAAAAAAGCAAACCGGCCGGTTGCATTTGCAGCCATGGGGCTTGCTTTAAGCCGTAGAGGGATTTGTTGAGCCGGCAGACATGCTCGCAAAGGCGTAATCAAGAAACCCGTGAAATTTGAGCGATGAGACGGTCTCTGAAAGTGTGCCGTGCAGGAAGGCGTTCTTCACATCAAGTTGATGAATGGGCCAATCCTTGGAGTGTGCTAGTGTGATGACTGTTCAAGCGATTGGGTCGGTTTGACAACCGGACCGAAAGTTTCATCATAATCAACACCGGGCGTTGAGTAAAGCCCGAAGCACCCAACGAGCCTTGTAGCGTTCCAAAGAGCCATCAGCATTGAACTTGTGTTTGAAGATCCATTTCCCAGTAACCACATTGGCCTTGGCAGGATGGAGGACAAGATCCCAAGTGTGGTTGGCCTGAAGTGCTGCATATTCGTCTTCCATGGCCCGGCGCCAATGAGGATCAGCAAGAGCATCACGGCAGGAACGCTGGAGTGGAGAGGGCCTCGGCATGCGAGGCGAGACGAGGTGCCGGTTCTATTTTTTCCCACGGGTCGCCATACTATGGGAGTTGGCGACCGGCGAATGGAGACAAGACCATCATCGGGGGGTCGCTCTTGACATAAGCGCAGTGGAGCGGGATCATCTTTGGAACGTCGAGTGGAGGTCCCTGTCGGGCGCCGAGAGCCGGGCGGGACAGAGCACGCTCAGAGGCGTGAATGATGGGCGGCTTCGGGACGAGTGGTGCGGGAGCGTTTGGCAGTGCCCCACCGCACACTGGCCGGTGTGTTGGAGAGGAGGGTGCCCGTCGAGGGCCCCGAGACATGGGCGCCTGAACAGGGGACCCCCCCGGAGGCCCCGGAGGTGTCGACAGTAGAGGGGCAAAACCGGGAGGCTAGGAGGGAGCACGCGCCAGGGAAGGTGGTGGCCGGGGGCCAGCAGCTCCAGATGTACCTGCAGGAAGAGGAGACACTGGGAGAGCGTCGTCGCGTCGGTTAGAAAATCAAGTTCCCGCGGGGGGGGGAGGGCCATTGTGGAAGGAAACGTTGTCTCATCGAAGACAACGTGGTGGGAAATGATGACCCTAGTTAGTGGCGAGGTCAAGGCACCGTAGCCCTTGTGATCCAAAGGATAGCCAAGGAATGCACAGAGAGTAGAGCGAGGGGCAAGCTTGTGGGGAGCGGTGGCGAAAGGTTAGGATAGCAGTGCACCCAAACGCTCAAGATCATGATAGGAGGGAGGCTGCCATGGAGGCGAAGAAAGGGTGCTCATGTTTAGAGTTTTGGTGGGGAGGCGGTTGAGAATATAGGTGGCAGTGGCAAGAGCATCAGCCCAGTAGACAGGAGGCATGGAAGCCTGGAAGAGGAGGGTGCGGGTGATGTTATTGACGGTGCGGATCATGCGCTCGGCTTTCCCGTTTTGCTGCGAGGTATAGGGACACGACATGCGAAGAGTGGTGCCGTGAGCAAGGAAGAAAGCGCGGGAGGCAGAGTTGTCGAATTCACGACCGTTGTCACATTGGACTGATTTAACAGTGCAACCGAATTGTGTGGACACATGAGCAAAGAAAAGGGAAATAGTGGGAAAAGCATCGGACTTAACACGAAGAGGAAAAGTCCACATAAAGTGGGAGCAATCATCAAGAATGACTAAATAATATTTGAAACCAGAGACACTAATAGTAGGAGATGTCCACAGGTCACAATGAATTAAATCGAAATTCTTGGATGCTCTAGACATGGAGGTAGCAAAAGGGAGGCGAGTATGACGCCCAAGCTGACAAGCACCTGAGAGAGAGTCGCCTCAGTTGCTGCAGAACAATGGAGGAAGTTCGAGCGAGGTTACAAGAGTTGCCTTGCTTGGGGGTGCCCAAGGCGCCCAAGTGCCAAGTAGTCGGAGAAGGAGTGGCGACAAGGGCGCATGACCCAAATGGATGATGACTACAGCAATGTAGGGTGTAGAGGGGCCCGTCTTCATTACATCCGAGGAGGGTGTTCCAAAAGCGAGATCCTTCACAGAGACACCAAGAGGTCAAATTCAACTAAAACGAGATTATCAAGAGTAAATTTTCGAACGAAAGAAGATTTCTAATGATATCGGGGCTACAAGGACATTATCGAGGCGAAAGGGTCCTGAAGGACAGAATAGCCGTGCCAACAACGGGAAGAGTGGCACCGCTGCCCACGATAATGGAGGAAGGAAAAGAAGAGGAGGGTGATGCGGTGACCATACCAGGGGTTGGCGGTGATATGGGAGGAGGCACTGAGTCGATCACCCAATGAGGAACTTGGCGGCGGGGTGAGGAGACGGTCTTGAAAGGCGCCAAGCGAGACCCTCTGGCGACCATGGCACCCAAGTGGGAGACGCTGCAGTAGTAGGTCCCGAGCCTGTGGTGGAGCGAAGTAGGCGGGGCGCCCGGTCATCGAGCTCTGCATGAGGAGGAGGCCGGATTTGGGCAAGGTGGTGGAGGACCACGAACCCCACCGGCGGTGGATCCACAGCCACATGTGAATGGAGCCACCCACGGATTGAGGAACGACGGCCATTGCGGTGGAGGAGTGGCGAGAGGGGTGCTTGCTTCGCACTACCCGAGATCCACCAGAGCAGCCATTGGGCGCGTCTGCACATGTTGTCAAGACTGCCACGGCAGCGATGTCAAAGAAGCAACGAGGACGAGGAGGCGCAAGTGACGTCGGGGTGGGCGCCTTGGTGGAGGCGGCGGCAGCGACGAGGCCGGCGGAGGGGCGGAAGGTGTCCCCATGTTGAGCTCAAACAACCGGAGGTCAAGACGGGACGTCGGCGAAGGGTGGAAGCGGCTTCGGGTGATGAGTTGGGACATGAACTGAAACCGTTCATTGAGTCCCCGCAGAACGTTGAGCACCAAAGTACGGTCCAGGACAGGCTCGTCGAGATCGGCCAGGGCATCTGCCATGCTTTTCATTTTGCGGCAGTAGTCGTCGACGGAGAGGGCACCTTGACAGAGGGTGCGAAACTCGGAGTCGAGGAGCATGGCGCGAGATTCGCGTTGTTGAGGAACTGTTCTCAAGTCCGAGCCAGCCTCCCGGCGATAGAGGGGCGTCGTGCTCGTGGATGACGCCCGTGAGGTCGCGCGGAGATGGTGTTGAAGATCCAGGGCAGGACGACACAGTCCATGCGCGACCATGCCGGATCGTAGGGGCGGGGAACGTTGCTGAGGACGTGCTCCTTCAACGCGAAGCGGCCGAGGATGAGGAGAACATAGCCACGCCACTTGGAGTAGTTGGAGGCTTGAAGATCAAGAATGATAGGAATTAAGTTCTTGATGTTCTGGACTGCAGCCGCCTGACTGTGGAGGCGGGCGACGGCCTCGGTTTCAGAGGAAGCAGAGAAGGTGTCCTCGGCGTCGGCGTCGTTGTCCGGGAACTCGGTGCGGACTCGAGTCCGGAGGGCCGCGGCTTGTCGCTCCAGAGCGTCGGCGCGGCCTTGCCTCCTTGTCGTATGCGTCGGCAAGGGCGCGCGACGCGCTTCTCTGGCGTCGGGCGGATTTGAGGATGGTGGCCGCCTCCTCGAGCTGCTGGCTGCGCTCGGAGTTGGTTGAGCGCAGGGAGGAGGCCTCGTCTTCCAGGCGCTTGGCCGCCGAGAGGGCTTCATCGCGGAGCTTTGCCGCAGCAGCCGCGGTAGAGGAGCCAGCGGCAGCCATGGGCGCGCGCAGCGGCAGCAGGGGGCGCGCGGGCGTGAGAGGAGAAGAATCGCGCAGCGGCGGCAGGACGCGCGCGCGAGGAGGGAAGGGAGCGGAAGCGGATGGATCGGGATTAGTCTGATACCATGATAGACAATAGCCTAACAGGCTTAGATTCCTTAGAGATGGAGATTACAGGAGGATTACATATATAGAGAGGAGGAGGATGGCCCAAGGGGTCAGCCGAGTCCCCAAGAGTCAAACTGAGACCCAAGGGGCCAGCTGGGTATTAACCTGGCACAGGAAGCTAGATTACACAAGTAACTAGGTGATTACACTAAATAGCAATTAATTCTAACACGAAGTACATGCATGATTACATGGTAACAAATGGCTGAGATAATCACGGCATGCTCGTGATCGGTTGTTGCCATCCCAACACCCTGGGACATGCCGCTAATGGCGCCAATTGCCTTCTACATACTATAATTAGCGGGCTCAGGACTTATTCAAACACTGGTAACGCCAAATGTTTAGAAGGGTCCTGTCATCCTGTGTTAGCTAAAGTAGTGTAGTTTACACTGATTCAGTTATCTTTCTCATCAATGGGCTTTGATCAAGAGTTGCTGTTTGGCGATCTTAGTTACGAAATTGTGGTTATGTGACACTTGATCAAGCCAGTGTACAGTGTAGATTTGCACAGTTGCTCTGTACTTTGTTTGTTATTGATTACTCACTGGCCTCAATCTTTTGTGGAACAGGGAAGGTTGGAGCCTGTAGAGACTCGTGTTAAGAATAACAAGCGTGGTTTAGGTTCTAAAGAACCAAAACCAAAGCCTAAGGTTGAGGATGATGTTGAAACAAATCCCCAAAAGCCCAAGGTGAGCTAATGACACAATTGTTTCAATACATTTGGTTTTTTACTGTAGCAGAGTTGTTGTTCCCCATTTCTTGTTAATCTTGACTTGTTTTTTTAGTCTACAATACTGCTGACTTCTTTGACTTACTGAATTCTATTGTGTAACTTAGAATGGCTACTTTTTTTAATAGACACCTAAACCCTCCTTGCATTGCCTTGTTTAATATTTGCTTGATTTAGTAAATAATAGACAGTAATGTTTCTTTCTTTGTTAAGCCTTCAGATACCTTAAACTGTCTAATTTTAGTCATCACGTTGCCTGATGGGGATTCTAACTTACTATTTCATACATGTCACTGTTGCAGCAGGACATGCCATCAAAGAAAAGGGCAAAATTAGCTGCAAAGAGGATAAGAAAAATGCAAGAAGAGGAGAAGCGCTTGAAAGAGAAGGAATTCGAGATGGCTTTTTTCAGGGAATTTTGGCCTGATAATGTGTAAGGCAGAAACTTCGACATTTGACATTGTAGCTGCTGACCTTGCCTCTTGCCTGATATAGCGAATGTATAGGCTTGCCAATGCTTGGCAAGTTTTGCAACCGTTCTGTCGTACGGTCATCCCAATTGTACTGGCCAACAAAATGTTACCCATCCGGTCTGTGGATGATTTCACACACGATTTGTGGCTAGGGTTGGGCACATAGCTATTCATCCAATCTAATGGACAAATCCAGTGTAGAATTGTTCATGCCATATGATCTTCTATTTTTTGTACATGACAAATGCTGTTTTTTTTATTCATAACTGTGCACAATATTTTGCCTTGCCAATACAAAGATTTATATGGCTCAGAAATGTTCACTATTCGTTATGGGCTTTTCTTTTGTGTACTCCATTACCCATTGCAGAAGGGAGGCGATCCATTTCAATTTTGTTTTCTTTTATGAAAATGTAAGCATTATATTTTTAATACTAGCGTTTCCAGGATTGGCCATTAACTCTCTTTTTTCTTCACATTATAATTCCTTGTGTTCTTTCCTTTGTCTTGCATTCTAAGCCTGATGATTTTTCTAGCTACAAACTCTTCGTGTTGGTGCTTAGCACATGCAGCTCCATTTTTGTTGTTGTTGAAGCTGACATGCTTCGGCCACTATTATGTCGATGTATCCATGGAACTAATTTGCAATATCACGTCAACACATGGACGCAACTTTCGAGAAGTTGTTAATCCCGTTATTCTTGAGAGGTCATTTCACTTGTACTCCATGATATACTCTCGTCTGTTCCAAAATAAATAGACTTCTAGAGTTGTTTTAAGTCAAAGCGTTAAAAGTTTGACTGAATTAGTCATAGATGTTGGTACTCTTCTCAATGTAAAAAATAGCATCAATACTTATAATACCGAATTAGTATCACTAGCAATACAAGGTTAATGAGATTTACAAAGTTAACTGTTACACGAAGCTCACTTTTTTTTTATGAAGTCAAAACCAACGTCACTCAGCTCTATCTGATGATATATTCAGTCTGTCCCAAAACATAGGCCATTTAGGTTAATTAATGATATAAACATTGATGTATTTTTTCTATAAACTCGATAAAAATTAGAATAATTTTATTTAGGACAAACAAAAATGGTCTACATTTAGCAAAAGAGGGAGTAGCTCTCTATTATTTATCAGTCGGCCATCAAATTGTATAACAAGGTTAAACTCGTTGGGAAAGCTAAGAAGCTTCTTAGCTAGGCAAATACTATCGAGTCATTCGGTCACTGATGGCCGTATTTGGCCTTGTACTCCTGCCACAGCTCCTGCACGCACTTGCCCAGGATCTGCACGAAGTAATCGTCGCTGTACCCGTTCATCAGCTTGGCGTTGAGCACCGCGACGAAGCCCGGCCGGAGCGAGTCGCAGTAGTCCAGGAACCTCGCCGTGACGTCGTAGCCTTTGTCCCAGCTGCTCCCCTGGCCGGGCTGCACCCAGTGCGCCGGCGCGTACCCGGCCCGCAGCCGGACGAAGTCGGCGATCCCCTCGTAGACCCACCAGTACACGTCGTAGTCCTGCAGCCCCCACTGCCACACGTGTACCGTCTCGTGGTACAGCACCCCGGTTACCTGCACGCAGCGTGCGCACACGCACGGATGTCACGGGAAAAAGAAGCCACACGTGTGCACGGGTGGACGAACAAATTGTAGGTAATTGTACCTCTGTCTTGACGTCGCCGGTGTAGTTGTTGACGTAGCCGGCGTTGAGCACGATGGTGCTGCCGGCGGTGTAGGCGATGCCGTCCACGGCATTCACCACGAGGGTGACGTGGTCGACGGGCCGGCGGTCCGCGGGGCTCGTCTGGTTGAACACCAACCAGATGAAGCAGGAGGCGTCGGAGAGGACCTGCGCCGCGTAGCTCACGCCGTAGTCCCGGTCGAAGCGCTGCCCGCCGGGGGTCGTCGTCGCATTGTTTATCACCTCGAACGTGACGGCGCCGGCCGTGGCGGCAGCAGCCAGGAGGAGGAGGAGAGAGGCTACGCCCACTGCGGCGAGCTTCATCTTGTGCCAAAGTACGCCTCGACGCCTCGTGGTATAGTAGGCTATAGCGTGCAGCGCACGTGCTTTGTGAGCGAACCAACGAGAGAGGTGGTCAGGCTCAAATTTATAGGCAAGTCAGATCATATTTTGATCTGCTTGCCAGAGCTTGGTGTACGGTGTGTATCTTGTTTGGTGATTCAAATTCTTGTATCAAGCTAGCATTGGCACGGCGCCAACACAGCTGCTGTGCACCACACAAGAGTCTTGGCGCTACCGTACGCAGCCGACCGATCGTCGTTACATCTTTTGTTTGTTTGTCAGTAGTAGATCGTCATTTGTAACATTTATTTATATATAGGAAACGCCACAGTGCATACAAATGTCACCCTGTCCTGGATTTGTTGTGTTGCTCTTGCCGGCAAATGCAGAATGCACCCGTGAATATGTAGACCAGGAGTAAATATAACTGAGATAATATAAGCGGGTTGTAGATTGCCACGATAAGTTAACATGTCCGTGGTGAGTGAGGAGGGAGACGAGATGAGAGAATGGAAGAAATGTGGATGGTCTGCCGCCAATCCACATCTTAAGAGAATAGAGGTGTGCCAGGCTGATTGGGCAATCGGTTTAAACCAAAAGTTCGATTCGGTTTCAAAAAATTCAGTTTCTTAGAATCACCAACTGATAGTTTTTTTTTACTAGAACAGAAAACTAACAACTTCAATTTCGGTTTTTACTTCGGTTCTTCGATTAAACCGAAAAACCGGAACTGTAATAGAAACAGAGTAGCCAACACATCCAGGGAACTCCGGCAGCTCCTTGCGCCATCGTCGCTCCATGCACAGATGCCCCACAGCGCCGCTCCATGCGCAGATGCCCCAGCTCCGACCCCCCCCTAAGCAGATGCGTTGCACCGCTGCCGCCGCTCCCAGCTCCTACTCGCGCCGGTTTCCCGCACGCAGATCCGCCACGCCGTCACTGCTCTTTCTACTCAAATGTGTCGCGCCGCCGCCGCTCCTAGGCTCCTGCTCTATTCTCCCGGCGTGTCACGCGCCGTGCACCACCACCGTTGCACAGATAGGGTTTCGTGAGTGGTGTAGCATGTGGGTGGATTAGGAGTGGGGCTGGAGGAGGGCCAGAGGGTGGCGGTGGTGGTTTGGGGGTCAAAGGCTTAATCGGGCCGATAGAGGTGGGCTTCTTCGGGCCCGTTCGTTTGAACTTTATCTGCCGGTTTATCAACTAGAATCTACAATATTTTTTTCTCATAATAAAATAGCTTCAACCGGCTTTAATACCGGTCGAACAGGAGGGTGTGTTTGTTCGTGCTGTTCCTGTCAGTTCGGTCAGCTCGGTTCTTCGGTTCGATTTTCGACCAGAATAATCGACAACCGAACTTTCTAGACTTGAAAACCGAAAAACCGAAAAAACAACTGTTTGCTTCAGTTCGGGGTTCCATTTTCGGTCTAAATGTGCCCACACCCCATGTACAATGGCAGCCAGCAGTCTTGCAATAAATATCTTTTTCTTCCCACCTTGATTCATCGTATATTTGTACACAGCTATCACTGCAACAAGCATACAGAAATAACATGCATCCTATTGTACTAAAAAACAACATATAATGATATTGTGTAATATATACTTTATTTTCTAGCGTCTTTGGCTTTGCACTCTAAAAAACAGGATTTATTGTTGCACTCTTAAAAAAAAGATGTAGTGCATTAATCCCAAATGTAAGTTTAACTGTTACTTTTCATTTGTTGCATTCATTAACGAAGAACATAGAAAGTTCAATAAAACTAATCTAGGAAATCTATCAGCCTGTTCGGGAGGCCGTATCGTATCGTGGATTATTTACTGCTGGCTGGTTTGGTGTGAGAGAAAAACACTGTTCCCGGCTGGAAATTTACGATCGTTTACGAGCAAGCGAACATGCTGTATATCTATACAACATGTAAGAATGTCTGCAGTTGTATGGATAAAGAGAGATAATGGAGAGAGAGAGAGCGAGAGCGCACGCAGGACGACTCTCTTATTGAATGCGTGTCTGTCAGTTGGGCTATAGACACACATCTTTTTCCTCCCGTCACACCTGAAAGGGGCCATGACGCCTAAGAGACGGGGGGTTGAATTAGACAACTTAAAACTCTAACTCTAAATTATGGTCTCTTTGTCTATTCTTAGCAAAACCTATGTAAAAGATAAACTATCTAAATGTGCAACTACGATTTTGCTAATGTGTTGCTATCTCTATTGCAAAAGGAGTTATGCAAACAATGTAAATGCGGAAGCTAAAGAGTAAGGTAGAGATATGCAAACTCCCGTCGACGACTCCGATATTTTTATCGAGGTATCGAGAAGCGCGCAAGCTTCCCCCAGTCCTCGTTGGAGCCCCTCTCAAGGAATCCCTGGCAAGGGCCAAGCTTCTAGTCAGGTAACTCCGTGAATAGCCCCGGGCCTTCTCCACGTGCAAGTGGGTCTCTGGTGTGTTTTTCGGCAAGCCTCTCCCGGACCGCTCTCCGTCGTCTTCACTATCAAGCTTCTGGCCGAAACGCCGCGGGCCTTGTTCCCTCCGGTACACGTTGGCGGCCACACCACAAACGCGGTTGGTGTAATCTCGCAAGACTACAACCCCCTTCGATGTACAACAATGGTGCGCGCAAGCACCGAGTGGTAAGAGGTATGCAAACCTCACTAAACACTAGGCCTAAACCTAGAGCAAGCGCATAAGCGGTGATCTAATCAACCTAAGCACTTCGCAAAGCACCTACGTTAATCACCTAATGAATCACTAAGCACTATACAAGTGGAGATCACTAAAATAGTGTATCAACACCCTTGGTATCTTTTCTTAGTTCTTCTCATCTCAAATGGCCGGTTGTGGGGTCTATTTATAAGCCTCATGGAGAAAGTAGCCGTTGGGGACGAAACCTAGCTTTCTGCTACTGATCAGACGTTGCTGTCGTTCTGACCAGACGCGTCCGGTCATCCCGACCGTTGGAGCACGCGCGTTGATCGGACGCACTGTCGAGTCCGGTCATTGTTGATCGGACGCATCCGGTCACGCTGTCGCCGCTCTAGAACCTCTCTGGACTCGATCGGACGCTGCAGTTCCTGCGTCCGGTCGATTATCCGCCAGCGTCCGGTCAATGCTGAATGCGTTGCCAAGATGATTAACAGTGCCATCGTCATGTCCGGTCACTTTTAGTCCTCAGTGTCCGATTGCTGCTGCTGACGCCTGCTGTTGTCAAGCATCTGATCAGACGTGTCCGGTCCTTATAAGGGCTGTGTCCGGTCACCTCTGTCGAGCTCGTTTCTTCACGATCTTGCGTCCGGTTTGGTTCCCATCTTTGTGCTTGGACTATGCTTGATATCTTGGGTCTTCTCTTGTGCTTTTAGGGTCTTGCTTAAGGTGTTGATCATCGGATCATCATGTCGCCTTCGTCCAAGTCACGTCTTGCACCCTGTTGAACTACAAAACAATTACTTGCAAATTCATTAGTCCAATTTGGTTGTGTCGGTCATCAAACACCAAAATCCAAAGTAAATGGGCCTATGGTCCATTTTCCTTACAATCTCCCCATTTTTGGTGATTGATGACAACACGATAAAAAACAAGCAAATAATAAAAATTTTGGAATTTAAAAACTATTTACTTGCTAGGATGCAATGCAAAGGGCAAGGTTATATGATGCTAAAAGATACCACATGTAAACATCTTTGGAAACTTATTTTTCCCTTGCAAATGTCCCCATGTGGCATTATGGATTTAAGCCTCCCCTAACTGCATAATCCACTATCCTCTCTTTTTCGGACCATTACTATTTATAAATTATTATGATCGGGTTTGCTTTTGGTTCTACAAATTCTCCCCCTTTAGAATCAAACACAAAAAATGAAGACATTAGTAGCACAAGGGAGGGTTAAACTTTGTGATCCTTTGTATGTGGAGTGGAATAGATCACAAAATTTGACTCTCACATTACATAGACTAAGCTCCCCCTAAATATATACATACATATGATAAAGAATGTAGTTTATGCATAATTGACAAATTAATGCTTAAGGGAGTTTAATCTATATAATACATGGAGAAAGCATATAAATACCAAAGTGAAATCAACATGATGATATCGGTTTAGAAATACCACATGTGGAAACCAATTTGATTTATACCACTCGCAATAGGTGGTGGATATTTGAAGCATGATGCTTAACTCCGGGGACTCCATTTTCCTTGCAATGAGACTACTACACACATGATAAGCTTGAAAATGTGTTAGTCTCAAAGCATCCAACTTGTAGAGTAACCTCCCCCTAAATTTATGCACATAAGTATGTAATACTTATAGGAGACATGTACATTGATTTTAGAATAAAAAATGCCACTTGAAAGATGACATCACATGAATGTGAGAATTATTTTTGAAAGTGATATTCGGAAGAAATTATCTACAATTTGGACTTTGGCACATATTAGATGAACAATTATAAAACAACCTATGTGCTGGGCTCCTAAACAATTTAAATCATGTAGGTTTGCTCCAAGGGTTAAGAGTGAAATCGAGCAAGCTACCATAAGATATACCTAGTGTATGCAAGATAAAAGATTAAACATGCAAATGCAAACCTAGGCATGAAAAAGGAACTAGATGCTAATTGAAATTGCAAGAAATTAAATCTAGTTACCTAACATGGGAAGGGGATTTTGGGTCCATAGTATTCACTAACCCACTTGCCAATTACCTTGTCCATAATGATGCACCCCATGAAACGCACCCATACTTTACCAAGTCTCCAAATTCTCCGAAGTCCATCGGTCTTCTCAGTTCCCTTTTAGGATCCAAACCTTCTTGGTGCTCTTCATGTTGGAAATGATCTCCTTTGGCACTCAAATGCGTTTGGCCCCATTGTTGGCTTGCTTGTTCACCTTGATGGCCACCACCTTGTCATTTTTCTTCTTCTTCAAGAGATAAGGTGTGGAGGCCTTTTTGTCCACCTTGTTGGTGTAGGTGTTGGTG